CTCAAAAAAAAATTGGGGGGCGTTACGGAACAGAAAGAATTTTACGTGTCTGTCCTCGACCCAGCCCTAGCTTGGGATGTCCGTTGTATTTATTTATTTATTTATTAGAATTTTACAACGCAACTCCCTCGGACGACACTAGGCACGGGACTGGCGCTAACCCAACAATACAAAAGAACCCGATTCGGTTTCTCTGTTTGTGTGGCACACTATCTCACGCGGTCGGTTGGGTGGACAACCCACCGACCGCTGTCAGCAGGACGCGCGGTTTCTCTGTTTGTGTGCTGCTCAAGTCGAAGGCGAGTTCAACGTCCCTCCTGAGGCCGACGCCGCCGTCACCAGAGCAGCACGAACGGATGTCGACGACCCAGATCGCGCTCGACCGCATCAACGCGGTGCTCAACGCGGCCGGTCTCGACGACACCATCTTCTCGCTCCGCGACGCCAACTCGTCTCTCTTCCTCCTTCTCTTCAAGAAGCTGTTTGCGCGGACCCTTCCGGGCGTGCAGGCCGCGCCGGTGGGCGAGCAGGAGCACGCCGCGAACTACGAGGTGCTGCTGCGGGCCATCGGCGACGACGTCCTCGGCATGGACCTCTCCCATCTCTCGCCGACGCAGCTCGCCGCGGGAGAGCTCGCGCCGCTGTGCAACCTCGCCGAGATCTTCTCCGAGCTGTGCGGCATCCTCCTCGCCGACGAAGACGCCCTCCCTCCGCACCACCACAGTTCGCCGGATGAGGGCCGCCTCGAAGACGGAGGGTACGGCGGAGGGCACGGCGGAGGGTGCGGCGGAGGGTACAGTGACATGGGCTGCGAGCGCGGCTACGGGGGCCACCGTGATGCATCGTACGGCGGAGGGTGCTGCGGGCACGAGACGTCCGCGGCACGTGAGGGCCTCTCCATGGCCTCCTCCTTCTCCTCCTCCGCCGCCGCCGCCGCCTCCGTCGCCTCCGCCTCTGCCCGCCCCGCCACAGCGCCTCCGCGCAAGGCGCTGTCCGCTGCAGAGGTGCGCCGCAGCGCCGCAGCGCCGGCGTGGCGCGGGGACGGTGTGCGACGTCCCCACCTCGGCCGCGCCTCGGCCGCGCCTCGGCCGCACCTCGGCCGCACCTCGGCCGCACCTCGGCTGCACCTCGGCTGCACCTCGGCTGCACCTCGGCTGCATCGGGGGTGGTTCCCTCTCCCCGCTGCGCGTGCGGCTGTAGTTGTTGCACCGGCGTGGCGCGGGGACGTTGCGGCGGCGGCGCGGCGGCGGCCCAGCGCGGCGCGGGGGGATGGCCGGGCGAGGGAGGCGGAGGAGGAGAGGCCTTTGCACTTCAAGACGCCGTCGGCGCTGCTGCAGCAGCTGCAGGAAGAGCCCCGGAGCTCACACTCGCTCGACCGGAGCAGCAGTTGATGCCCCCCCCCCCCCCCCCCTTTATTAGAAAGAAAATGCGGGGCCTCCAGAACCCCCCCCACC